GTGTTCCTCTTCTGATTCGGACTTCGCGATCATGTCGTCCACATAAACTTCAATCTCCTTGTGCATCATATCATGGAAAAGTGCCACCATCGCCCTTTGATATGTTGCCCCGGCATTCTTGAGCCCGAAAGACATCACCTTATAACAAAAGGTCCCCCACAACGTGATGAAGGTCGTCTTTTCCATGTCCTCAGGAGCCATCTTAATCTGATTATACCCCGAGAAACCATCCATAAAAGAAAATAACGAGTACTTGGCAGTATTATCAACCAAAGTGTCGATGTGTGGTAACGGGAAGTTATCCTTCGGACTTGCACGATTCAAATCACGATAGTCAACGCACATTCGAACTTTCCCATCTTTCTTAGGCACTGGTACAATATTTGCTACCCATTGTGGGTATTTCGCCACAGCCAGAAATCCTGCGTCGAATTGCTTCTGTACCTCCTCCTTAATTTTCAATGACATTTCTGGTTTCATTCTTCTTAGTCTTTGCTTGACTGGAAGGCATTCCTGTTTAAGTGGGAGCTTGTGTTGCACAATATCGGTATCCAACCCTGGCATGTCATTGTACGACCAAGCGAACACATCCTTAAACTCCTTCAGTAGGGCTCGCAGCCCTTCCCTCACTTCCTTTTTCATGCCGGTACCGATTTTTACTTCCTTTATCTCTCCTTCCTCTCCCAAGTCGAGTACTTCAACATCCTCCTGATGGGGTTTTATCTCTTTAGACTCTTGTTCCACTAATTTTAAGAGCTCTGGAGAGGGTTCCGGATCATCTTCATAATCATCTTCCGTATTATCGACAGGGTGCTCAAAATTAGGAATATCGACATAGTTATTTTCAAAACTTTCATTGTCATATCTGCATTATTTGAATTTATAAAAAAAAAAGAATAAATAAAAAGGAAAACCAATGACGAATGCAAAATGATGACAAAACACAAACAAACACGATTTGATTATCACGCTGAGCACAAAAACTAAACGTCAACCCGTAAGTCTTAAATCCTAAAGCCCCGGGTGAAGCTATAGGATTAATTAAAACTATTACATTTTATCCAAATTAAGCATCACGGGTAAACTCAAAGTTTCCCAATTGTTGAGTGGTGCAGCTGGGGAGCAAGCCCGCACGAAACTTGAGCATTCAGAGGTATCTTCATCCTCCACGGCGGCTATATGGCCCGCGTTGATCCATCCAGCACTACGAAAGCTCTCCTTGACGCCACGAATACCGATCTTTTCCACCCGAGGTTCACGCCTTTCTACACGAGCCAGACCGCGCTCTCTCCTTTCTTCTATCAGCCTGCGTTTGTCCTCTTTGTTGGGCTTGTACCCTAGGCCGTATCGGTTTCTATTCTCAACGACCTTTAGGGGAGAAGTTCGCCCCTGCCCATGCTTGCCTAAACCTCTACCAGGTATATACCCCCCTTTCAGCAATACCTTGGCCATCATGATAGAAGCACCTGACAAATGCGGGCTTACTAGGAATGGCTCCACATAGGCATTTCCCACGATCTCCAATGAATGGAAGGCTGTTTCAAGAGCTTCCTCAGCCACCTCAATATATCGCGTGGACGATGGTCCGCTCACAAGGAGGTCCTCCTCTCCTGATAATATCACCAGCTTATCTCCCATAACATATTTCAGCTTTTGGTGTAGTGTGGAAGGCACAACTCCTGCAGAATGAATCCACGGGCGACCCAACAAACAACTATAAGCCGGGAGGATATCCATAACTTGAAAGGTCACTTGAAAGACACAAGGACCGACTTGAACGGGCAATTCAATTTCTCCCATAACTACCCTTTTACTGCCGTCAAATGCCCTCACAATCATAGAGCTAGGCTTCATATGCATTCCATCACAGGGTAGCTTCTCCAATGTCGATTTTGGCATGACATTTAGAGAGGAACCATTGTCCACCAAGACACGCGCTATAACGTGATCCAAACATTTCACAGAGACATGAAGAGCCTTGTTATGACCTCTCCCCTCAGTGGGTATCTCCTCATCAGTAAATGTGAGGTAATTATTAGCGATGATGTTGCCAACAATGCCCTCAAACTTGTTCAACGAAATACCATGCTCGACATGAGCCTCACTGAGTACCTTCATCAACAACTTTCTGTGAGAGGTAGAATGCATAAGCAATTCTAACAAGGAAATCCGGGCAGGCATGCGATTCAACTGCTCCACCACCTTATACTCACTCTGTTGAATGAATTTTAAAAATTCGCAGGCCTCTTCCTCGGATATTTCTTTCTTTTCCTCCTCATTAGGGGTCTCCTCTACCTGCGCGCCCTTTCCTTTTAAGTCCTCCCCGGCTTTCGCGGCCATTGTTGTTTCGTTATTATTGGTCCCCTCTTTTGTCACCATTGGTGACGCGAAGATTCGACCACTTCTCGTCATCCCACCTATGCCTGTTATGTTCTCAACGGCCGAATCCACGCCTTTTCCCTCATATAACACATGTGCTCCATACACCCAAGGGACAGCCTTCTCGCTTTTGTAGGGAAAGGGAGACGGCCCCCGAATGACGACAGACGACCTTTCTTCAGACACTGGCATAGGGGTGGTTCTAGTGAAATGAATCACCAATGACTCAGGCAAAGTTACGTCGGATTCCCCGCCGATTTGTGTGAACACTTCCCCCTCCTTATCCTCGTAACATACTTGCATTAAACTTCTATCCAGCAAGTCCTGTAAAATATCTTCAAATTCACCACATTCCTCAATAGAGTGCCCATCGTCCGGATGAAGTGCACACGTTACATCCTCGTCATAATCGCCTTTTAAAAGGCCCACTTTGATCAGCGCCTTAAAGATAAATTTTCTTGAACTTCGGATTTCACCCGCGTTTCTTATCAACTCATGTCTTTCATCCTCGACGGCATTCGTCGAGGCACTCCCATGCCCAGAAAGCGGATTAGTCTCGACGCTAGGTTTATCTTCTTGAAACTTTAACCACCCCGAGTCAATTAGAGTCTGTACTTTGTGTTTAAAGGCCAGACACCTCTCAGTTGAGTGACCAACACCTCCCCCATGGTAACTACATTTGGCCTCTGCATCATAACCCCTGGGATACGGAGGTTGCATGGGCTTCATCGGACAAATAGCAACCAAACCCCTTTTGACGAGATGGGGTAACAATTCTGTGTAAGTTGTAGGGATAGGGGTGAAATTAACAAATTGGTTCCTTCTTGGGTAAGTATTTTGGCCCGCATTCTGATTTGGACCTGCAATTGCCCCAGCTCTCCAAGAATCAGTTGGGGGCAATGGCGGTTGATAATAACCTTGTTGTTGTTGAGGCCTGGCTTGATGAGCAAACACCGCATTAGCTGTAAGAGGGGGTTGCCCCAAGTATGGTCGGAAGCTATGAGTAGGAGCTTGACCTCTCCACACAGGTATTGCCGACGCCGCATGCACATCCCCTTCCTTCTTCTTTCCCGCATTGAAATTGGGTTTTTTGTAATTTGAAGTTGTGGGCGAACTGAATGCAATCTTCCCACTTTTAACCCCAATTTCTATCCTTTCACCTATTATAATGATATCAGCGAAATTGGCAGACACGTTCCCGACCATGTGCTCATAAAATGGCGGCTGGAGAGTGTTCACACACATTGCCACCACCTCCCTGTCGTACAAAGGTGGTTCAACTTGCGCAGCTAACTCTCTCCACCGTTGGGCATATTCCTTGAAAGTTTCGTCGTCCCGTTGTCCTTCTTTGACATATTTTGGCAGCTGTCAACTCTCTGGTGCACATGGGTATTGTATATGTACCTGACTGCTTCACAAAGACACCAAGCCTTTCCCCCCTCAACAACTGAATGAGTCGCCCGCTCCAAATGGGTTATAACCAATTTTAAAACGCCACTCCAGCCAAACTATCTGGGGAAAACCTGATGGAGCAGCCTGCCAATCTAAGCATAATTGCAGCCATCTTTCTGGCAAAAAACATGGTTAGTGCTCTTTGGGCATTAATTCCCTTATACTTTTCTCAAAATCTGGCGCTTTGAACTTTGATGTGTAATTTTGGACGCCATGGAACCGCGCCAATCTAGAAACTCCCAAATCCATAACTTGCATACCCCTCCACACCCTCAATCTTGTCCTCTAGGCTCTCTCAAGTTTATCCTTTCGCCCCACATTACTAATTACACTCCCTGAAACGATAGTATGTGGTGCAGCCCCTGTAGAAAAGCCCTCTTCCCGTAACATCACAGCGTGGCACCGGAATTTACTCTGTATTCCATCCGACATGCTTGCATGCAGTCCTTCTTTATCACTGGGTGCGGACATTAACACCAGTCCCGGATAACTGAATTGGCGGTGTTGCGGGGTAGGGAAAGAGAATGAGTCTGCTCCCCTTCTTTATTCTCCTCTCCCAAGTGTGGTGGTGAAACCTGGAGGTAATCCATACATTGGGAAGAAACAGATTGGCTCCCAGAACCTGAACCACCGAGGTTAATATTGAGCACTTCCCCGACTTGCGGCAGGCGTCGCCCCTCCCGTAGTCCTTCAGTCTTTTCGAGAGCCCCAAATCTGGGCCATCATCCTTCAACGGTTTAATCCGTCCTAATATGATTCGTGTACTGCTCCATAATTCTCCAATGACCTTTTCGATTAGCTCTGGTCCTGTAAACGGATGTCCGTGGAAAATTTGGCGTTGTGTTTCCATTCTCACTTGTAACTGCGCTGATTAGTTCTTATTATTTATAAATTAAATTAGATAAGGATAAAAATGCAAAACGACAAGAAACACATGATGCAATGCTAGTGAAATGGAAATCACGGATTAACGAATGACAATACTGATGGAAATTAACACAAGCCATACCAACAACCTCCCTTCTTATCTTCATTTAAAGGAAATTTGATCCATTACATAGTCAAGGAACAAACACATAATTCCCCTATGTACATCAATCCCGCGCCCGGCATGAAAGATTTCATCTCTCCCACCAACCATTTTACAATGATTAATAAACAATTCTATTTCCGCTGGTGAGGTTACAAAAATGAGTGCTTGCTTCAGCATTCGACACATCCTGGGGGATGTCTTCAATTGCCCCAGTTTGCCAAGCAGTCCAAACAGATTTTCCCAATTTTTATTAGCCCGGCAAATTCCAAACCATGGGTCCTTAGACTATCTTTCTTTCTTAATCGAAAGAAGTCGGTGTGCCGTGTAGCATCCTATTCTTGTGGTTAACATACATCCATCTCGTATGAAGTCAAGTAAGTACCTGTGATTTCCCTTAAACTTAACATGTTCCTAATGATGGTATTAATAGTATGCATGATAATAAACAACAATGAAGAAACAACGCACATGCAGGTATAATTAATTCATTAAAAAAAACGAACCAGCGGAGGGTTCCGAATTGACATATTCCTCCCATCGTGCCCTACCAAAGGTTCATTGCTTTGAGTTCAAGGTCAAGTATATGCAATCTCACAAGGATGATTTACTGAACCTAAAGGTCAAAGGTCACTAGAGCTATGGCCCCCTTCATAGCATTTCCGCAACAGTCGAGTAATCAACTAGGTGTGGAAACACATATGACAGAGAACAGACTCTAGCTGGAGGTTCCAACGATAAGCCAACAGGAAGTAGCATCCCAGAGTGCAACAACCGCTACACAACCCTCTAATTCTAACTAAACCTCAGAGCGCCGTGTATGGGCCCCACTCATGATATGGCCAAAAGTGTGTGTGTGCAGGGAGGAAATTATGCACAAACCCAAACCTCACCTGCCAAACACCAAAAAAATTCCCAGGCAGATATAAACATATTGTCTACCCTAGGTTTCAATATTCCACAGTTAATGCAGTTATTCTAAAAATATCAAGCATAGATAGAGAAAAGGGAAAGAAAAAAACACAAAGCAAAACCACACCCCATTTCGCGCATCTAATTAATGGCTCGACTCTCTAACGTCCCCAGTGGAGTCTCCATCCTGTCGCAACCGGAATCGCGACGACGACGATCCAAATAATAAACGTGTTTTGAAAGAGATTTGGAGTCGCCACCATAGTTTTTATTATGGAAAACTATGGAAAAACCCTCAAAACATAAAGCACGGTCCCCGAAAACCAAAGATTGGGTTCCGGGAGTCGGTTACGCGTGGGGAAGGTGTTCGCACCCCACCACGCCTGCCCTAAATGCAGTACCGTTTAACAAATTCACTAATATGATTGTTTGTTTTTCAAAATGTTTACTTATGTCCCCAAAATAAAATTCTAAATAAACAAAACATATTTTTTTAGTTTTTTTGGGCCCGACAAGGATTACCTTGCTCCTCACGTATTCTCATTCAAAAATGAGAATCAGGGTTACTAGTTCTAGCTTGAAAGACTGTTTGTTTTGTTTGAAAAAATCAGATGTTTTTAATTTTTGGATGGAGATGTTTATGTTTTTAATATTTTCGAGAAAAAGAAGTTAATGAGTACTTAGCCGACGCGAACTGTCCGCCACGATACTCATACCTTTAAAATGATATTTTAAATATTTTTAATTAATTTTTTTTTTTTGAAAGAGATATAAGATTAAGCACTAGGCCGATGCGAACGATCACACGAGCACTCATACCGTTATCTACTTATTTAGGAAAACTTAAGGGTATTGAGTGCTAGGCTGATGAGGACGATCGCACGAGCACACATACCATTATTTACTTATTTAGGAAAACTTGAGAGTATTGAGTGCTAGGCTGATGCGGACGATCGCACGAGCCTCATACCCTCGTTTAATATTACGTAAATAAGAGAGAAAAGTATTGAACACTAGGACGATGCGAACGATCACACGAGTGGTCAACCTTTAAACGTATTTTTGAAATTTTATTTAAGAAAAGAAGAAAAAGGTTTTTAGCACAAGGACGACGCGAGCGGTCACACGTGCGACTTAACCTTTAAACAATTTTTGTAAATTTATTTAAAGGAGAAGAAGAGGCTGTTTATCACAATGGCACCCGAGGACACCGGCCGAGCGGTGCACACGGTGCTTAAACCTTTCAAACACACATAGTTTTTTGAAATTTTATTTTAGAAAAGAGAAGAGGCTTTTAGCACGAAGACGACGCGAGCGGTTCACACGTGTGTGCTTAAACCTTTAAAACGTATTTTTGAAATTTTATTTAATAAAAGAAGAAGAGGTTTTTAGCACAAGGACGACGCGAGCGTTCACACGTGTGCTTAAACCTTTAAAACGTATTTTTGAAATTTTTTTAAGAAAAGAAGAAGAGGTTTTTAGCACAAGGACGACGCGAGCGGTCACACGTGTGCTTAAACCTTTAAAACGTATTTTTGAAATTTTATTTAAGAAAGAAGAAGAGGGTTTTAGCACAAGGACGACGCGAGCGGTCACACGTGTGCTTAAACCTTTAAAACGTATTTTTGAAATTTTATTTAAGAACAGAATAAAGTTTTTTAGCACAAGGCGAACCAGCGGTCAACACGTGTGCTTAGAAACCTTGAAAACATATTTTTGGTAACTTTATTTATTTAAAATATTGTATTATTACATAATATTTTAAGCTAAATAGATTTTTAAAATAAATAGAATAAAATCGATAAACAAAAGAAATGAAAATGGAGAAACGGACTTTAAGGCCCAAGATGCAAATAACGAGCGTTCGAACCGTTCGTTGGGGAATATAATGGATATTTAGAAATGTAACTGAATGACGAGCGTTCGTCGAAATAAAGCGAACGTTCGTTTGGGAATATAAAGGACGAACGTTGGTAACTAAGGCTGAATGACGAACGCTCGTTGATAGAGGATGAACGAACGTTGTGAATGTAGGCTGCATACGAGCGTTCGTTGGGTTGATAGACGAACGTACGTTGAGTACCGGAGGTAAGATGACGATCGTTAATGTATGATGTGACGAACGGACCTCTGAGAAGAGGATCTAGTCCACGAGCCTCGCTGTGAATGGATCGTTCTTGGGTAGATGAGGTGAGTGGAGGCCAAATGACGAGCGCTCGTTTGGGACGAGCGTTCGTTAGGAAAATGAGGTTGGATGGCGCATACTCGTTATGGACGAGCGTTCGTTAGGAATGATGAGGCGGGATGACGAACGACGAGCGCTCGTTTGGAACGAGCGTTCGTTGGAGTGTGAATTGAGCATGAATAGAACATACCCGGCTTTCAGCCCTGCCTTTGTATTTATACCTTACCTCATGGACCATGAGCTGATACAACTCCAATAAAATATAAACAGAATAAGATATAAACAGATTACCTCAAAATTCGATTGGTTGTTTATAACCTGTTTATCAATATCTTTAATTAGATATTCTTTTATTTTAGCACCTGTTGGACTATTGGCCCAATAATAACTTAAGTGCTGGCCCAATTACGACCCAATCTTTGACCCGGTTAACTATAGCGGATGGACCTGACGGCCTTGAGTGGATGGACCGAACGGTGTTGAATGCTGACCGTTCGGTCTACCCTAGGTACGATACATATGCCCCGCAAGTCTGAGTTAAGTGTTCGGCTTTAGCTGTAGTTAACTATAGGACTTATGAGTTTGAGGGAGGCTGTTTTTAGTCGTTGTTCACCTGTGGCGGGATTTATGAGTTCTCCTTTTGAACTTTGCCATGTACCGAGCGATAAATGATGAGAGTTCTTTTTAGAACTTTTTCCATTTGATCAGTGACTGATATTATCCAGCTTACCTGTTCTGAGGAAAATAACCACTGAATATGACTGTCAAAGATTTAAACCACTAGACTAACCCATTTTATAAGGTCGAATAGCCAAGCAGGGGAGACCACTCGATTAAAGATGCTCGAATGAGAGTGACTGTTGCTCAGCTCTTTGTTTTTGGCTAGGAGTTCCTGGAGAACTTCCCAGTAGACGAGAGTGACCGTCCATGGCCTATGGATTCGGAAAATTCCCAATAGACTGCAGTGGACCGTCCTTCGGCCCAGGAGTTTCTAAGAACTTCTCAGTAGACGTGAGTGACCGTCCGTGGCCTAGGAGTTTCCCTAAGAACTTCCAGTAGACGTGATGACCGTCCGTGGCCCAGGAG